AGCTGGCAACTTCGTTTGGCGGAAGGGCGGGCCTGCTTGTTTCCTTCAACGTTTTCATAACCCTACCTTGCGTGTTATTTTGACCTGCCATAAGAGGTGGTTTTGGAAACTACAATTTTGGGCGTATTTTTTTCTTGACTAAACACGCAATTTTACGGCCCTCCGGGTGAAAATTTTAAGGAGAAGGCTCTATCTCAGCCGGTTTTCGATCCACGAATTATTATTGGAAGGGAAAAGGTTGCTTATTTACAGCAATATAAAAACAATTCATATCATGCAGGTTAGCAGGTGCACTTGGGAGATATTCGAGAATCTGCACCCACTAACTTGCGTGAAAATCACGCTGCTAGCAGACGCTTGCGTGGAAATCACGCCGAAGGCCTGAAAATCACGCTTGCTCCAAAGCTGATTCAGCTGAAACGAATGGCATAGCCCCACATCGGCCTGCTTTTGGTTGTTGCATAAAGTCTACTGCTAACCAAAACAACTCTTTTCTCGCTAGCGGCGTGAAAATCACGCTCGCATCTTGTGAACTCTGCATCCACCTTAACGAAAACGTTAAAGGGAAAAACTTAAAAAATGTTTCCAGGAGTTTTCATCCAAAATGGCGCCTGGAAAACACAATTACAACCCAAGAATCGAAAATAAGCGATTTACGACTTACCCTACCGGCCACCAGGTGGTGCCACTTGACAACGACCTCGGGGGCGGGGTATCGCCACCAGGAGGGTTCAATTCTTTCTGCGCTGATAGTACCTGGCAAGGTGGTTCAAACCGAGTTCTCTGATGTCATCTTATACAGCACTATAAAAACATCTCAAGAGACGGGCTAAAGGCCCGTATTACACGCCGCTGGCAGGCCTAGCTAGACTCGCTCCCTGCTGAACCAAGTTGCCGGAGGTGTGAAGCGCAGCTGGCAACTTGGTTCGGCCGAAGAGTGGGCCTAGCTTGTTCTGATACAAAATTACAATAAAAATTTCACATACTCAGTTCAAGCCGTTCTCGAGTTATCGTGATTACAGACAGACCGACTGACACACAGATAAACAAACAAACCGACGCGAAACTTTATGATAATCTCTGGTGTATAGGCTTCGCGATCGCTCGGCGAATCAGTAACACCTGGACGTTTTTGATTGCTCGGAAAACTGTTTACGTAACCTTTCGTTCTTAAACGGGTGCGGTCGTAATTTTCCAGCACGGTTTTTCATGTATTTTGGAAGTACGAGCCATTTAGTTGGCTGAGCGATAGCGAAGCCTATTACTCCACTGATGATCAAAAAGTTTCGCGTCTGTCTGTGTGTCTGTCTGTCTGTTTGTCTGTACGCACGATAACTCGAGAACGAATTGAGCTAGCGACGTGGGATTTTCAGGGTCGTTTTGTATCATAAAAAGAGAGATCGAGTTC